CAGCGATTCCCAACCTGTGGTACGCGTACCCCTAGGGGTACGCGATAGGTTGTTTAGGGGTACAGAAAAAAGTTAGTTATTATGGCAGAAAAAATAATATATTATGTATCACAAACTAATAGTATTAAAAAATTATTAGATAAAAAATGTTCCTTGCAACAATCACAACTTTATTATACATTTTTTCTTTTATTTTTTTTTTCTTTAATTTAAAGTTACAATATGTAAAATTAACAATACGGTTACTCACTAAATTTCTTAAATGAGGGGTACAATCTAGAGATATGACATGTCACGGGGTACAATCTAGAGATATGGCATGTCACGGGGTACGCTAATGAAAAAAGGTTGGGAACCATTGTTCTAGAGAATTTCAGTTTTGTATTTTGTAAGATTATTTTTATTCAAAGTAATTTCTGTATAGGATAGTTTAATATTCTGTTTATCTTCTGTTATGATGACCAATTGTAACAAGGTAATTATGAATACAAAGAGCACACAGTCAACATATCCTTGCACACTTTTCATAATCCACTCCATCTTTTCTCATTCCTTTCAACGACATCATAATTCTCTGTTCTGTGTGTAGTGTCTTTGTAATCCAAACGATAATTTTGTAGACGATCAAACAGCAATTAGTTAGAAAAACGTTACAGTTTATTTAAAAGAACACTTTTTTAAATTCAGATGCATTTCGGGTTGGCTTCTATTCCCAACCCCTCCAGTGCTGTTAAAATTACAAAAAACAAGGTGAGTTTCACAACATTGGTAAGTAGGATTTAACATAAATGCAGGTTGACAATAACATAAAACCTTACATGTTATATAATGGTACAGCATAGACATGTATTTTGAAATTAATAATCTGTTATATATATTCTTCATGTAAATGATGTGTTAAACGACCACGCCCTTTACTTTTTTCATATTATAGGAAAAAGTCATAATTCTCATTATTTTCTGAGCATACTACAGGTCCTATTCACACAGAAAGAACACCATCACAGAACAATGGTGTTATAAGTCTCAAAGAAACATTTAGTGGAGTGTGATTCAATCAGAATGTACTTAATAAAGAGCTATATAATATAAACTAATACTTACTTTCATTTATTTGTATTATATATTTTACTCCCCATGCTAAGGGAAAATAGAAAGGGAAACTGGGATTGAATACTTTCAAATTTTATATCAGAAAAAATTTAATTATCCACTGAAATAATCTAGTTATTTTTGTAAATTACTATATATTTATTACAGTAAAATAATTTTACAAACCTAATTCAAACCACGATTCTTCAGCATCTAATATTCGACATAAATTCAATCTTTCTTTCCCAGGAATATCGTAAATGTATTTTTCCAGTGGTTTAGCCTTTGCCATTTTTATGTCAACACGAGAGAGGAAGCAAACACGCAATTAAGTGGAAATCTGCGTTTTCGTTTTCGGTGATTTATGAATTACGATTTCACGCGATTGCGCAACATGTTTTACATGATTAAACTTCCTTTCATTCATCGACGGCCAAAAACTCCTTTTGCATAACATTAATTATTTTATTTACATAATAATGGTCATCTGTCAACTACGCAAACTGATAAAGCCAAATTTTAAATTGTAAACACGAAAACTTTGCTATCGTTACACCCCCTATCGGAAGATTTCTATTCCAATCAATGTTGCCAGAGTTTGAATTGCCGAATTCTTGATTAGCAGCTACGAAATTCTTTATTTAATTTCATTTTTCTTCATTTTTACATATTTTAAAAAAGGTAATTATAATAAAACTGATAAAGTTACAATCACTACGTCACGCGTTTTGCTTTCTTAATTTTTTCTCCTTTAAAGTTGAATAAAACGTTTAATTTTAATTTAAAAATGGGTTATAACTTATGTGAATGCGTTCTAAAAGTAAAGATTTATTTTTAACAAATACCGGAAAGGTATTTATTTATACTGTCTGTGATAAATTTCAATCGTATCAAATAAAAGTTGACGGCAAGCCGAAGAATGAAACGGTGTAGGTAAACCAAATCTACATTATTGAGTTTATTGGATCAATATACGTACAGTCGACCCCCCCTATAACACGGTAGATACGTTCCGTTTTTTTATGAAATTGATGTTTTAGGAGACCTTACCAATCACAGCCCGACACGTGTGAAGTTTACGGACTACGGCTGTTTGAAAAGTTTTCTTCCACAAAATTAATCTATTCCTAGACTAATTCGACTCAACATTTCCAAAACACGTATATTTTTTTTGGGAATAATCCGTATAAACTATGCTATAAACAAAAAATTGTAGGATTACTTACCGAGTGTGCACCGTTCGACGTCGCCATTGCTTAAGCTTGTTTTCGTCGCGGAGCAGCGCACCAAACGGCGGACGCGATTTCTGATAAGTTATTTTTCTGCGAAAACTTCGTTGAACTTTGGAGACATCATTCATATAAATAATTTTTATGGCCGTTGAATAAGAAATGTTTCTTTCACAAGAAATGTATAAAATTACAGTGCTGTATTAGACTTACGGTACCTAATTTACATACTGTACAGACGATAGTAAACTCAGCTTACTTGCCTAAACTCTCTGTAGTGTGGTGCTGGACGGCGGAAAGTATATATATAATTATAATAAAGTTACAATAAATTAAGTTAATTAATATATAATTATATATACAGTACCTAATTTATATATAATATTGTACAGACGATAGCAAACTCAATTTACCCGCCAATACTCTCCGTAGCGTGGCGCTGGACGGCGGAAAGTACTTCGGCTGCCCGATGACGTTTTACCGAATTATAGGAGATTTTTTACCATGTTTGTACGGATACTGTTGCAATTTTTTCGCCGTCATATAGGAATCCGAACTATAGGAACCCGTGTTATAGGGGGGTCGACTGTACTTAATTTAGCATTTCTTATGAGAATAAAAGTAGAGCTATTAGAAAGCGCGTGGACCTTCTGCCATTCATTAGTACGATCAGAGAGGCGGCCGGATGGCCGAGCGGTCAAGGTGGCAGCCTACCGCTTCGACTGAAATAATTAAATCCTAAATATGCGGCCGGATGGCCGAGCGGTCAAGGTGGCAGCCTACCGCTCTGGGGGACCGGGGCTCGAATCCGAACGGGTCGAAAAAATCCCCAGGAATTTTTCGGGGGTGGTCCGTTCAGATATGTCGGGCCCCGTCCCTCACCATCCGGCAGCCCCATTGTGGGCCTAGCAAAACCCATAATGGGCTTGCAAAAAGAAACCCTCTTAGTGCCCACAGGGCGGAAAGAGTAAAAAAAAGTACGATCAGAGAGAAAAAATTTTCTTGGCACGTAGATACTATTTCCGTGTACTGTGTTGTACTGTATGTTGCACGCGTTGTCACTTTGTACTGTATGTCGCACGCGTTGTCACTTTGTACTGTATATCACTATTTACCACGAACTTGTCAAATTTCGCAGAAAGGCGAGACAAAGGAAAATAAAGTTTGAAGCTTTTTTTTCAAAATTAACGCATTTCTTTCGTTTTTTTCAGTTTTAAGTACTTTTTTATGTTTAATTACATTAATATCAAAAATTGCTGGGAACTTAAGGCGTTAAGTATCTGGCAGCACTGTACTTCGAGCAAATCAAAGAAGGAAAGATGGCGCCGATTGTACATTCTCCAAATCAGAGTGATCGTCCAGAAAATGACGACGAAGAGCTTCATTCTCGCGAAATTGTCATTAATAATTTTGAATCCGATCCCAGTTCGGACGAAGACGATGCGATCGACATTGGTGGTTATCAATTATTACCTCAAGACACAGACAACGATGATGGAATTGTTAGTTTCCAATGTATTTGGTAAGATTAGAATAAAAAGAATGTCCAAAATATAAGGCTATTCTACAGCTATGTTACTGTCATCCACATCTGCAATTGTACCCCATAGATGACTTGGAGTCTTGATGACAAGCTTTAGTTTACTTCAAGAAATAAATTAATAAACTTTATTAGATTTAATTAAATGTAAATTATGTACAGTTATTACATAAGCGTTATATTAAATTGATTATATTCAGTAAATCTGATATTTATATAACAGTATGTTTACAATACAAAATTTTATGACAAATAGGTTGTGTTTCATTTTATTTACTTTTTTGTTTTTAATGAAGTGTTTCAATAAGATATTCAACGTTTTCAAAACTATGGATGTTATAAGATAAGAAAATACCATTTTTTGCAATGGGTTTTGATATTCATCTGATTTATATAGTCAAATTGTATAATTTTGGTACAAGTGCATCTAGGAGCCCCAATGGCACTACTTCCAAGACTATGGTGTTTAATTATTTGGCCCAAGTGACTATGCTGGTTTCGAGTAGCTCGCTTGACTGTTTGAAGAATACTTCATGTTATATAGTTTTAGGGGGGTGGGATCTCGTCTCCACCCGGACACTGAGGTGTGAGCGATAGCAAGCACTGAGGTGCAAGTTTATGTGCGAAGCATGTAGAATAGACAGTAGACTGATACGTGTTAAAAACTGACTTTCGCACCATAGGGACTACCTAGATCAGACATGGCCAACATACGGCCCGTCTAATGAATTTATGTGGCCCACGATTCATTTTTCAATATTAGCTACTCAAGTCCAAATAGCTTGTTAAAAAATTCTGACGCCTAAAAAAAACAGGTCAGCAACTCACTGTGTGTTTAGAAGCTAACCCTCCATTACAAATCTCTTAAGTACAGTGTAGTACGTTGATAAAGCATGGTAATGTGAAAAATGTATCCGTAATCTCTTATGTACAATTTAGTCTCTACAAGGTGACACCATAATGAGATCTTGCACCACCTCAAAATCTTCCTAGGGCAACCTCTGGTTCAGCCCGTGAAAAAAGTTTTCTTTCCAGTTTGGCCCGGGGGCAAAAACTGTTGGCCACCCCTGACCTAGATGCACTTTTATCATAATTTTTTTATTTAGATTTATTCTATTAGTATGATATTAAATTTACACATGTAGTTAGCTATTTTTCATTATTTCAAAATATGCTAGCAGATTGATCAGTGTAGTATGTTCAAAACAGAATATTTTGACAGTGATAATTTAGTGACTATAATGTAATTCTTATATTATAGTTATTAAGTTATCATTGTAAAAATATTTTTTGTTTTGAACATATTTTGATAATATAAAAATATTCCATGTTTTGATTTTTAAACCTTTCAGAACTGTCTGTTTTAATTTGGTATAAGTATAAGAAAAGGATGTAACAAAACAAATCCACCAAAATTACATAAGTGTACTATATGTAAATCCAAAAATTGTAAAAATAATTATAAAATACTTTATTTGGTGATATGAAATTATACAAAACAAGAAAATAAACATTTTTGAGTTAAATAGCTTATTATTAAGATTGATGTTGGCTTTAAAATATATATTATAATATATCTAATTATATTTGAAATCAGACAATAAATGTTTCACTAAGGTCTTGCTTGGTAACCATATTCTATAATAAAACTTCAAAAAAGTTACTTTGCACTAAGAATAAGTTTTAAATTGTTATGATTAAAGTATAATTTCGGAAATTAAAAATTTTTTGATAAATTTTTCACAGAATAGGAGAAAAACAATATCAGAATAGATATTGATTTGTTTTTCAGAAACATTTCCAGATAATTTTGGAAAGGGAAACCTAAGAAACCTGAAAACGATGCAATGTGCAAAAGGTATTCAAATATATTTGACATTGTTCACTTATCAAACAATGGTAAGAATAAAGATTTTCTGTTAATATAATTAGCAGAGTATATAAGATTGATTTACAACAGAAAGAAGAAAAATAAATAATGATTAATATATGAATTTAGGCATATCAGACATATAATAAAAGTAGGAAATGTATAGAGTTGACAAAAGTTTGTAGAGATTGAAAAGATGTTAAATTTAAATGTTGAACAAAAATTTAAACATTTAAGATATTTTGAACATTAGGGAGATATAAAATTAAAAATTTTTTAAATTAATTTTTGAACATTTTAATTAAATTTATAGAAAGAGTTTTGTTTTGTAAAAAAAATTCAGAAAAAGTGATTTAATTTTGGATGTTAGATTTTAACTTTATACAACATTAACAGAAATTGTTGCTACATACTTATTAAAATGTTCAATATGATAACGTTTTATAGGCTGAGCTGTTAAGCTTAAAAACATTTATTTTCTAGTTTTGTAATTTTAAATAAGACATTATTGTAATTTTTAGATTACATTGGAATATATTGGAAGTTTAAGAATAAAAATCTATTTCTAGAATTCAGTCCAATGTAGAAATCATCAAAAACAGAAGATAGAGAAAACTACCTAAAAATTTTAGATAAATAATATGCTTTCTAAAATATAAATTTAAATAATTGATTACATATATTTTTACACATTTAAATTAGTTTAAAATTTATTAACAGTCTTTATTATATTTGTATATTCTGTAGTAAATTAAATCAAATAGAAAATAATGTAAAATTTATTTTTTAAATGAATTTTTGAGATTATCATTCTATAAACAGCAATTTAAACTTTCGACTTAAAAAATAAATTCTTTTTACCTCTATGTCCTTATTCTTATAAATTTCTATGTATATCCTGCTTACTTGGACCTTGTTTATTAATAGGACTATTATACTGGTGTAGTTTCCGATTTGCATATAGAAGAGAATTTAGTCAAAAGTCAAAACAAAATATTTATTTTCACCTGTATACTCTTGTGTGTTAATAGAAAAAGGAGATAAGAATATAAGTAGAACAGAAAAAACTTTGATCAGTGCATTTTAAAAAAAATATTATGTTACACTCTATGGATAATTTATGTCTGTATTAAGGTTGTGTTAATAATAGACAATAAAGGAACTAATGTAAACCTGCTGAAGAGATGCTTTTAGGTCCAAAACACAGTGTGTACAGGTGAAAATAAAGATATTTTGTTTTGACTTTTGACAAATTCTCCTGTATTTGCTAATTGGAAACTACACCAGTATAATAAGTCCTATTAATAAACAATGTCCAAGTAGGCAGGATATACACAGAAATTTTAAAAATAAAAATTTAAATTGCTGATGTTAGGGTAACACTCCATAAAATATTTTGGTGTTCTAAACTTGATAGAGTGTTATTATTTCTTACTGTTTATGATTATTTTTAAAGCTATTTCTATGTTTATATATTGCTTTATAATCAAAAACATTTGATAGATAAAATATTTTGCATTGGAAAAGGCTTGAACTGTTATAACAAAAACAGTTTAAAATAATTTTTTATTTCACTCAGTAATTTAAAATATTTGGGAATTATAGTTACATAAACTATAAACTAAATTTAAATTAGAAAATTCTAAATATAACAACTTAAAGCTGGCTTCAACCCATTGACAATTCTATTTCAGTTTCTTCATAGATTTGATAACAAAGAATAAAAATAACTGATAGTTGTATTATGTAATATTATGCAAATTGTATTATGTCTGTATTAATGTTTTATTAATAATAGTAATGTAAAATTTAAATTTTTCTTTCTAGGAATTAGTTGTTGAATCTTTATTTGATGCTGATGAAGTTGAGGATTCAGTGAGTCATTTAGAAATTTCCGAGGTAAATTTGATTTTTAATAATTCTTTAATTAGAAAATTTGCATTTCAAAATTAATTTTAAAAATTTACCCTAAATAAAAATTAACTTAAGTAGACAGAATTAGATAACCTAATAAATAGGGTATAACAATTTGCAGGGCTTATCACACCAAGGCCGACAGAAAGAAGGACCAGAACTACCAGAATTTGGAAAATGTAGGAGAGACTAAGATATTTACTGGTCCCAGATAATATGTTATACCACATTGTCATTGTGTTAAAATTTATACTTGATATTTTAGTTTTTAGTGTATGGGTTACATTGAGAAATTGTAAATGCAGTGCACTGCATATGTTGGGTTATTCCGTTGTATTGGCTGGTTATTGGTGTTGTATTTGTTACATTGTTACCATGTGTTTGTAAGCTGATGAGGGGGTCCTTGTACCCGAAATGCATACTTACCTAAATTTGAAATGTTATTATTAAAGACCAACTCTTTTTTATAAAAGTTCTGGTCCTTCTTTCTGTCGGCCTTGGTGTGATAAGTCCTGCAAATTGTTATACCCTATTTATTAGGTTATCTAATTCTGTCTAATTTATAGTTGAGGGCAAAAAAGCATTGTTTATTAAAAATTAACTATTTATAATTTTTGCAATACATTTTAAATCTTGAATTAACTTTATTTTAACTCATAGAAAGTCAACTTAACAAAAGCATGATTCACACAGTCCATAATATTAAGCAGTTTTTTAAAATATAAACTACAGTAATGATTTAAAAAGCACTTTTGTTTATATAAAACTTAAACTTCTTCAGTTTATACTGTTCTAAAATGAATACAATTTAAATTTGAATACTTGGGTTTTCAGATGGTTCAAATGTTCAAAAGATTACATTTTTAAAGATGCAGCAATGTGATGCTATAATTTGAAATTTTAAGTGTGGAAACATTTTATATGAGAATATTTCTTGAAGCCATAACACAAAACTAATTGGCCTTTAAGACCTTTGGTAAATAAACATTGTTGTTCTACTTTTGCTTTAGGAAAAAAACTAACCAATCTTTTGCAACACATCTTGTATGATTGTAAGTTTGGGAGTTCAAACAATATACTGCTTGTATTTGTTCAGTCAAATAGATCCAAATCTAAAATTTTATAAGGTATATTATATATCTTACACCTTTCTTCATACACTTAACTATACAATTTACAGAAACTTTATTATTAGCAGAAGACATAGCTGTGTATACTAGGAAAGCTATTTTTGATATGCTATATTTAATTTGTCATATGAATTATTTTTGATTTAAAGACAAATTTTACCTACAACAGTTGACATTCCAATGGACTTGCTGTTGTCAGCTCTTTTGGCAGAAATTGTCATGAGGCAGAAAAATGGGTATTCTATAGACTTTTGCAATCCCTTACCCAGTTTTAAGGTGAAGTAATGGATGATAGCTTAATAATGGCAACATTGTGAAAATAATTTTGATATGTTCTTTAACCATATTAATAGTATATTTCTGTCTGTTCAGTTCTTGCTAGAGTCACAACATTCAGTGTTTATCATGAAAACAGCTTACTTCTAATATCAGTTTAGTAGGTTTGTTAATCCTGCTATTACATCACACATGGAGGACTTACAAATATTCTTCTTCCACAAATGCATTAAAAGTAGCATTAGAAATAATTCAGAGTGCTGTGTATGGTTGTGAATTTTCAGCTGCAAAATTTAACTATTTATATTGCAGAATTAAATGAAAATTGTTTCCATCCACCACCTTAATGCCAGAAGAGAGCAAGTTGTGCTTCTTTCCCATGACCTTTGTGAGTAAAATAATGTATAAATTGTAAAGCTGTGTACCATCTTTTTCAGATATCAGTAATGTTTGTGTCTACACAACACAGGTTATGTTGTAACTGTAGAGATGGATGAGAACCTAGAAATTGAATGTATAGCATACTATTGGAAAAGCAAGGAAACAAAACTTTGACATATGTCAAAGCAACTGAATGAAATTTGTGTAAGTGTATTAAATAACATCAAACAGATATGAAATACTGAAGAAAAATGATAGCTTCAGATAAAAATTACCAACCAAAATGTGATGGAGTGAAATTATTATTATTTACTCATGAAATCAAAGACTTTTATTCTTGGTATATATTAAAATATCTAATACATGCAATGTTTTCACACTCAAAATATAATCTTTTAAACATTTGAACTATCTGAACCCAAGTATTTGAATTTGAATTCAGTTTTTTTTAGAAGCCCTAGTTGTATATAAGAGAGTGCTTTTTAAGTAATAATTTTATTTTATATTTTAATCAAACTGCTTAATACTGTTGACTATATGAACTGTGTTTTTCTTATACATTTTTAAATCTCTACTGAGTTATTAAACTTGGCTAAAACCATTGTTTTACAAATTTAATTTAATTCCATGAGTCAGGAAGTATGTTTTTATTCTCAAAATTATTTGGTGAAATATTCATTATATGTATCTATAACAATAGTTCATAGAAACAGTTTTGGTGTACTTTTAAGTCAATATTGTCATATAAAGTTTAGTATGTTCAGTATTACATATGTACTGATTTTGTGAAATTCTTTCATTGTTACATATTTTAAAGTGAAAAAGACACAAGGTGTACAAATTTTTATAAACACACAATGTATGATCAAAAAGTTCTGGACTGTGCACACAACTTTATTAATACAAATGACAAAAAATTATCTTAAAAGTTTAAAAATAGGATACTCCTGCATCTAAACAATACTGCCATTTTTTTCCCAGTTTTGAAAACATGCAGAAAAATCATTCTTTTGCAGGCTTCTCAAAACTTCCAGTGATTTTTGTTGGGCAGACCTATTAATTTCCATTTGCATCCATCTGTTTATCTGTCCTTCCTTAATCTCAAGAATGCATCAGATAGATGAAAGTCAAGACTAGATATGGAAAGCTTAGGGACTGGAGGCTCCAATTAACTATAAACGAACTTTAGGTCTACCAGAAGTCGCATGATTTCAATTTAAAACTTTTCTCCATAACAAAGTTAGATAGAAGACCAGCATGACTTTGTGTTGTTATCAGAAAAAGTATGATGTACAGAGGCAAGACACTAATAAAATTAAGAAGCTATATTTTAAATTAAATAAATTAAAAATATGATTAAAAATTGCAGTCTGGCATTGTGAAGAAGTTATAATAATTTTTGCTCATTTCATCATCATCTTTGTATTGAATCTTTTATCTTTCAGCAGCATCATTAATTTTGGGAAAAAACAAAAACATTCAGGGTTAAATCTGGAAAGTAGGTGCTGAGGAAGTATGGGAGTATTGTTTTTAGCCAGTAAAGAAAACTGAAGTAAAGTAACTTGGATTGTATGTGGCTAAGCATTATTATAATGAAGAGACCAATTCCAAATGCATCATTTTTCAAGCCTTCACAAAATGGATAAATAAATTTCTTGGTTGATTGTTACTCCTTCTGGCATGAATTGATATTGGACTAGACCTTTATTGTTGAAGGTGGCATTAACTTGAACTTTCAACAGCTTGGCCTTTTTTTTATTTTGGGTTGGTTTAACAAAATGGACTGGCAGAACAAAATAGAAGCTAAATCAAAAAGGAAAGGAAATTTATTTTTATTAAATCATGGAGAAGAAAATATGCAAGTTTTTTCAAACAGCCATTGACTTTATTGCTGTTTTGTTTCAGAATGATACCCATAGATCAAAATCTCATTGTCCACTTATCATTTTATCTGTCATATCATGTCATTTTTAGCCATTTGGAGATTGTTTTGGCAGAAATTTGTTTTTTTTTTTTCTGCTCTTGGATCAATATCCTAAGAAATAAACTTGCTTGCTTTTCTTTTTTAAGCCAAGATCTTCCAGGATGATTGAATGATGTAATCCATACAACAAGTTGACTTCTTCAGCAACTTCTCAAAATTATCTTCTGATTTTTCAACAATTTTCGGTTGTCTCATCACTTTTATACATTGAGATCTTGAGTCATCTATAATTGAGCTGTGGCCATCTTTAAGCATCTTGTACCATTCAAATGCTCTTGTAATTTTTATTGAAGCTTCTCCAAAAGTTTTTTGTATCATTGAATGGCTTTCAATGACTGATTTTCCCAAATTGAGGCAAAACTTCAAGCATATGCAGTATTTGTATAAATCTTCCAGTGGAAATTAGCAAGATGATGATACTGAGTATGCTTCAAATAATATTTTCTAGAAATGTGATTGGTATTGCTCATGCAATAAAGTTAAGTTTATCTGCTTTTAAAACCTGTTTGTGTTTTTTACTCTTTGTTTTTCTTTATATTAAGCCAGTCCAGAAACTTTTTGATCATACTTTGTAATTGATATAGAAATAACTTCACTTTTAATGATATGAAACCATGCTTTGAAATTTGTTTCTGCTTCTGACACAATAAAGTGCTATAAATTAAGACACTTGGCAGTTTTTCTCATCTTTATTTAGTTGAAAAACTGCCAAGTGTCTTAATTTATAGCACTTTATTGTGTCAGAAGCAGAAATAACTTCACACCAAATTAGACCAGGCATGGACAACATACGGCCTGTCTAATGAATTTATATGGTCCGTGATCAATCTTTCAATATCAGGTACTGAAGTCCGAATAGCTCGATGAAAAATTCTGATGCCTAAAAAACAAAATAAAAAAAGGTCAACAACTTACTGTACATTTAGAGTTAACTCTCCATTGCAAATCTCTTAAGTACAGCGTAGAATGTTGATAAAGCATAATAATGTGAAAAATGTATCTGTAATCTCTATGTACAATTTAGTCTCTACAGGGTGACACCACAATGAGATCTTGCACCACCTCAAAATCTTCCTAGGGCAACCTCTGGTTCGGCACATGGGAAAAGTTTTCTTTCCAATTCGGCCCAGGGGCAAAAACTGTTGGCACTCCTGAATTAGACTGAAAGTAATATTAATAAAAACCTCATTCAACTTAGAGAATCTTTTTGTTTCCAATATTGTTTAATGATAAATAAAAGTTTGAAATACACAGATAGACTTGAATAACTCAAATACCTCAAGCGGGTAGCTATTAATCACATATACCAAAAGAATCTGATTTGGAATATAGCCCAGGCCCTCTCAACAGCATACATCACATGAACGCAAACAGTCCCCATGAGTATGCGTAATACATGACATATCATTCTTGATTACCATCACAACATACTACCAATACATAAAGAAATAGTGAAACACAGGGGTATACAATTAAAATTCAGATGCAACCATGCCATCTTTAGTATTCTTAAAAATGGGAAGGATTGTAACAACTTGCTCAGAATTCCAAGAGTTTACAAGATTCCCATGAGAGACGATAGATTTGGCAACAGCCTGGAATATATAGGCTCAACCTTACACTCTCTCAAAGTTAGAATAGCGAAACACAAATATGATATAAGTAAAAAGAAAAACTGCACCACCATGGCCACTTACACATCTGATAACGATGTGGCAACTATTATCAAAATGTCCAGGCATCCTGAGTACATGAAAACCTGGAAGCCATAGAAATTTTTAAATCGGAGAACAAAGGCCACTGTATCAATTAAGATCAACACCTGTCCATGCTTGAAAAACACTATATGTACTGTACATAAGAACAATGACACAAACACAACATGATTGTGTCATTTTGATAGTGTACAGGATACATAGATTTTTTAATATTTTTTCAATGTTTATTTTTATGCTTTTATGATACTTTTCCTGTAGTTACATTGTTATTGTGCAATTTCTGTGTTTTATGTATTCAAATGTTTCATTTTTTCAAAATACGTTAACATTCCAAAACACATTCCAGTTCACATAGATCTGAGGAAGATATTGACTAGATCGAAAACATTTGTCTTCAAACTTTTGTTTATCATTAAACAATACTGGAAACAAAAAAGGCTCTAAGTTGGATGATGTTTTTAATTGATGTAGTTTTCATTATTATAAGAGTTGTGTCTGGAAAGTGAGTTCCTTTATCTATTTGCATACTGCTGACATTGTAAACTGTGCAAGATGTATGGCAAACAGGCCATGAATGATTCAATATGGAGATGGATGAGAAACTTTACTGATGGACATGAAAATGTGCATGTGATGGAAGAGAAGTTTTATGAGCATAGACAATACACCATTTCATCAATTTTTCTTCATTTCCTACAAATTTTGCTGTCATTTCTCCATAAAATTGTTTGATTACCTGGATTTTCAAAAGTTCTGCTCACACTGGGTGCCAAAGATGCTCATCAAGGAATGCAAAATGAAATGGACTGGCAGATACAGTGAGAAAGGTGATGAATTCCTGAGCTTCATTGTTACTGGTGATAATGAGACATGGATGTTGCACATGACCCCTCAATTCAAACAGCAGTACATGGAGTGGAGACATGCATTATCACCAAGCAAGAAAAAATTCAAATAGACCATTTGAATCCAAAAGATCACATACATAGTATTTTGAAAGTGAGAAGATGTTTTGTTTGTGGAATTCTTGTCTTCAGGCTCAATATTCTATTGTGAGACATTAAAGAAACTGCTTTGTTTAGTTGGGATGTTGTGCTGCTTCATGACAATGCCTGCTCATATACTACTACCAAAATATAAAATCTCATTACAACATTCAACTGGGAACAAATAAATCATCTTCCTACAGTCCAACCTAGTTCCAAGCAATTTCCATATTTTCTTCATCTGAAAAGATTCCTTGGTGGCTGGCATTTTCATGACGATAACAATGCCAAAGAAGCCATGAACATTTGGTTGTATCACAGGCAGCATCATTCTACAATGCAGGGATACAGAAACTGGTTCCTCAACAATGATGGAAACTGTCAAAAAATATGTAAAGTGTTTATAAATGACAATAATGACAATACCCGTGACAATAAATGTAGTTTGAAACTAAATTGTCTGGCT